AGGAAAGAGATATTATATATGATAGTGTGGATGAACACTAACGACACTATACTAAATAAAACAAACAGAACGCCAAATACCATATGATTCTAGTTATGATATCTCTAGAGTAGGCAAGATTTGAGACAGAAAGTAGAATCAAGTCACAGTTTAAAATGTGAATAGTGAAGGCCGGGCGGTGGTGGCACACGCCTTTAACCCCAGCAACGTGGGAGGCAGAGGCAGGCGGATCTCTGTGAGTTTGAGGCCAGCCTGGTTTACAAGAGCTCGTTCCAGGACGGTCAGGACTACACTGAGAAACCTGTCTTGAAAAAAAAAAAAACCAAACCAAACCAAAATCTTTTTCTCTTTTTATGTTTAATTGTGGAAATTAAAGGCTTAATACGTTCCTAGTCCTTCCTCAGCATCTAAGTACCATGTTAGTACATCTTTGGATCTGCCTGCCTCTGCCTCCCGAGTGTGGGGATTAAAGGTGGGCACTACCACTGCCTAGCCTGAGAGCAGAAAAGTTTTTATGCACACAGTAGGAAGACTGGAACTCACATCTCACAGGAGTTCCAAGCCTGAGCCAAGCTGTTCCACGCTGTGTTTGCTGGTGTCACGTGGGTGTTGACGCGTGCGCTTACAGCATGTGTGCTGCATGTGGAGTACCAAGGCTTCAAGGAAACGTGTGTCCCAACACAAGTGCGCACTGGCAGAAGCACTTGGGTTGGTTGCGTGTTTGATTTTGGCTCATTGCCATATTTTTCATGCCCCTCCCCTATGCCAAGTTATATGACCTCATGTGGAGTCACAAGCCACAGTTTATGACACTGAGTGTTAGACAATCGCTCCACTACTGACCTACAGTTCCGCCTTCAGCTGTTCTCTACAGGACTTTCATTAAATCTGCTCTCCATCTTTTGCGGCGAATGGGTGTTTTCAGGAAGGGATACAGGACTGGGAGCAGTCACAGCTAGAATAAAGGTACTGTAGGCTAGGCAGGATTTCACAGAAGCTGAAACATTACAGACGTGTTGCTTAAGGCTAGGGAGCTGTGCTGAGGAAGAGAGGAGTCCACGGCTGTGCGAGCATCAGAGAGCATACTTAGACACATCTAAAAAGTCTAGGTCGGTCATGTGACATGGCCTCCTGCTGCCATCAAGAAAATGGCTGTGTAAGGCTGTCACAAGGTGTAGGTGTGAACCTTGGAATGACTATGCCAAAATGCCTGAGGCAGCTCGGTTGGTAGAAGAAGGGGTTTTAGGAAGCTCGCAGATTTGGAAACTGAAAGTCCAAAAACCCACAGTGCTCTTGGTTTGGTGTGGTGCCACTGTACATGGCACGGTGGAGGGCAAAGAGAGGAATATCACAAGGTAACCCAAGAGGGAAGAGCTTTGTGAAGCCAAACTCACTTTTATAGCAAGACTCCCGGAGAACTACCAAGGAGTCCCATGAGAACTCGTTTCTGAGGGCACACATCAGTGACCCACTAGGCCACATCCTGTGAAGGGACCCAGCAATCATTACAGTCCCTGGGAAGACACTCAAACCACACCCAAACTGTAGTGAAGGGCATACTTTTGCACACAAAACTTTTGTAAGCAAAACTAATGATAAGAAGTACAATGGCATAACTATACAGGCTAGTCACACAGGGGTTTATTATCGTTCTCAAGTCCTGTGTAGTGCACATAACTGACAGTTGTACATGCTGAACTTTGGGTGTGTATAAGTAGTACGTACATTCATGTGTGTGCGTGTGTGTGTGTGTGTGCATGTGTGTGCGTGCGTGTGTTTGTATGTGTTTATGCATGTAAAATGGCATGCGTGTAGAGGTCAGAAGACAGATTTTGGGGTTTTCTTACTCTATCTTTATGTGGGTTCTGAGAATCAAAGCCAGGTTGTCAATCAGGCTCTTTACCCGCTGAGCCACCTTTCTGTCTCTCTCCACTTTAATTTTTTTTTTTTTTTTTTTTTTGATTTTCGAGACAGGGTTTCTCCCTAGCTTTTTGGTTCCTGTCCTGGAACTAGCTCTTGTAGACCAGGCTGGCCTCGAACTCACAGAGATCCGCCTGCCTCTGCCTCCTGAGTGCTGGGATTAAAGGCGTGTGCCACCACTGCCCGGCTCTCCACTTTAATTTTGAGACAGAATGTGATGATTGATGTACACTTCTAACTTGATGAGATTTATACTGACCAAAGAAACAAACCTCTGGGTAAATCCACAAAAGAATTTTCTGGATCCAGTTAACTGAGGTAGGAAGACTCATCCTAGATATGGCTGACATGACTCTCTGGGGTCTCAGACTAAACAGGAAGGAAAGAGGGAGCTGAGCTAAGCAGGGACATTCATCTCTCTCTCTGCTTCTAGCCAATTAATGCGGTGTGACCAGCTGCCTCAAACTCCTGTCACCAGGTTAGACTTAGACTTTACTCATGAACCGTGAGCCAAAACTAACCCTTCTCTTCTAAGGTTGCTTCTTTTCAAGCATTTTAACACAGCGCTAAGAAAAAACATCTGCTATGCAGGGCCTCTCATGAAACCTGGAGCTCACTGATTGGCTAGCGTAAGTGGCCAGCGAGAGCCAGTGAACTTCTTGTTACAGCCTCCCTAGTGCTGATGTCATACGTTATCACATCCGATCTTTTAACATAGGGGCTGGGAATTCAAACCCAGTCTTCATGCAGGCACGGCATACACTTGACTGACTGACTTATCTCTGCTAAACAGTCAGCAGTATGTTGGTTTATCTGTAAGCATTGTGCCAGTGATAGGATGACTGACATCTCTAGGCCATAGGGAGTTTCAGCTCCATTGTAATCTTACAACTGGTCCCTTTTCAGACATAATGTCCATTGTTGACTAAAATGATCTGATCTGGTACATAATCATATAACCTGAAAGTCTGAAAGAGTGTTGAGGGACTTATAGTTATGGAATGAGATGGGATGTAGATAAGCTTTGGGTACCATTAATTTGTCCTGGGAACATGGTAGGTGTCTTGGCTACACACTGACCTTGGTGTAGATTTGTAGAACCTTATTTAACATTGGAGAGGTGGGTGGAAGTTTTGAGGAGTTCAGACATTTTTAATATTAGGAAGGCAATATAATATGGTGCCTATTCTGTGTCTCCCAGACATTCCCAGTGGAGTCTGGCCCAGCACCCTGTAAACAAACCCATTAATATTCTCATGATGAAATGCATAAATACTCACACCAAATGGGATAATAAGGACTATAAATAGCCTCATGTCCATTCAGGTCAGGTTTGGCTCCTAAGTCAGTACTCCTTGCCAAAAACATGGGGGAAAAAAAGAGAAAAAGGAAAAGAAACCACTCTAGTTTTCAGAGCTATTTGGATTTGAAACTGGTAGGACAGAGCCTGCTTGAGCTTTGTGCCATCTGAAGACTGTAAATGAACAGAGAGGCACAATGTGGCAGGGATCCAGCGTGCAGAGTTCCAATCTGCCTAGCATTCTGGTTTGATGAAGTACAGATGATTGGCCCACACTTAGTGAGCTGGCTATGGGCAGAGCTTGAACCAAACTCAGGACTCTTGCTTGCAGCCCGGGCATTCCAGCAGGAGTTGGCAGTCACCTTCAGACACAGGTGCCTTAGAGCAGAGCCAGAAGTTCATGACCTGCACTCATATCCCCTTCCCAGTTCCCCAAGGATGGGAGCCCTTTCTTGCCCTCAGTGATGTCATGCTCACCCCTAGATCACTCTCCTGCTATGGACTTAGGGAGAAGCCTCTGCTTGGAGGTCCTGTCCTACGAATTCAAAGATTCAAGTTCTTGGGTATGGATGATGCTCATTGAACCCCTGGGAATCGTTGAATTTAACTGGTCATTACATGCAGACTGGTCAAGAGAAAAGATTTACAGTAGAAGGCTCACGTGCAAGCCAGAACATAGCAGAGGAATTGAAGATCTTGCTTTCTGCTGTGGAATAGGAACTAAGGGGAAAGACGGCAAATATGACCTTTGTTTTTGAAAGATAAACATCAAAGGTCATTGACAATGACTTTTCTGCTCCCAAAGCCTGGTGATGCCCATCCCAGGTCTCTACTGAATGAGTGAGCTAATAAGTGAACGCTGAAGGTCTATTATCTGGGATCCTTTGTTATAACTAATGCCATCCCAACTAAAATACAATGGGTAACACTTTGATTTTTTTTTCCCTAAGATAATGGAGAAGTTCAAGGGTAGACACCTTCAGGCACGGCTGAATCTGGCATGCCAGTGAGTGATGGGAAGTCTGTCCTTTCCCTCCTCTCAGGGCTGCTACTGCTCCCCTTGTCATGTGGGGTCTCCACTGGTGGCTGGCAAGCTCACATCCGCCAGCCACGCAATCCCCACAGAGAGGGGAACTTGAGTAGCCAGGTCAGGAGGACATTGAGGTGGGCCGTGTTCCCCTTGGAGATGGTTCCTGAACTGACTGTACAAAATGCAGCCTTACCACACCTCCTGTGGCTCTGAGCGCCTCAGAATCGGACCTCAGCATCGAGGAAACAATATATAGCCCATGCTCCCCAGCTTTAACTCTCAACTTGGCACAGCCTAGGATCATCTGAAAGGAGTCTCAGCTGAGTAACTGGCTTTATCAGGTTGTTCTAAGGACTTTTAGGGGCGTGGGCAACATGGTTTCATATATACTGCTTGGTTTCATAATTTAATTATATGCACTTAAAATCATAGGCTATATAAAGTACTTTAGAACACTATTTTTTTTCAAATTCACATTTTAAGAAAACCATTGTGTTCTAATGGGTGTCATCTGATACAGTTCTCAGAGACTATAAGCTTCACTTTCAGTTGCTGGGAGATGTTCCATTTTGAATTCCTATTACATCAGGTCCAACTTTTTGACCTTGTGAGGCATGTTGTCATTTACAGAGTTCATGCTCAAAAGCCACACAATGGAGTCTCTCACTCTTCTCCCACCCGCAAAAAGAAAAAAAATACAAAAGAAGAATTTGTATTGCTTTAAGTAAGTTTGCAATTTGGTACTCAGCCACTCTGTCCTCGGTACATGTAGCCCTATGGGCCAAGGGGTGGACTCACCTGCTAGAAAGCCCCAACTGGAGCTTGCACCCCAAATCCTATATAAGCATTTTCATGGCATTTCTGCAGTCTCTCGTCTCACCCCTTTTATCTGGGGTTGTGCTTATGATGGTCTCTTCTTTCAGACTTATTATGTAGCCTTTGAAAATGACCTTTAAATAGTGTGGCGCTTGTGAGGGGAGGTAGTTCCTTTGGGAATTGTGATTAGATCCCTCTGCCTCCTTCTTTCTTTAGTTAAGCAGGTGACTTGCTGAGTATCTCAAGCCAGAATTGATTGAGGTCATTCCTTGTCAGTGTGTCCTCCCCAAGCAGTCCTTTGTGGTTCAGGACGCAGCCACCGAAGAGGATGCCTGCAAAAGGAAGGGCTTCCCTAACAGGATTACGCTGAGACGTTTGCGACCGCTCTGATGGAATCTGGTGGCTGAGGACTCAATCTTGTGCCCAGTGGGGGATACCCCTCTGTGGAATGGTGGATACTCCATTGGGAGACAGAAAGTCAGGCTACTGAACAGGTTCGTTGTCTCTGGCATATGAACTCAGCTCTGAGTCTTGATTTTCCAATAAGTGGAATAATTTAGACTAGATCAGAGATGGATATGGGGAGCACTGGCAACCAGAGAGGTGCTCCTGGATCTCAGTGATCTCGCCTCAAGTGATCTCACCTCATTCCCAAGATCCTAGAGTAATTCCACTTTGATTGCACTACATAAATACATTCAAGATAAATTTTCCTTTGAAATAAAGAAATAGTTTTGAATTTCAGAAGAGAGGGGGATGAGGGAAAGGGAGAAAAAGAAGAGGAGGAGGAGGGAGGGGGGAGAAAAGAAGGGAGGGAGGAAGCAGGTGATTTTCAAGGCCTACCTGCTCTGAAGTTCTCTGAGTTCAAAGCCATAGGGGGGGATCATTGTCTTCTTACTGGTGGTTAACAAGGATCCAGTGTGCCTGGTAGCTGGGAGGTAACACGGCCTCGGTGCTGGGCTGAGTGTACCATATGGTGACACAGACAAACCAGTCCCAACAAAAAATCCTACCCAGCTGGAGCCCATTCTGGTGAATAGCGCCAGAGTAAGCATGGGCGTGCAGATGTCTGTGCCATGCTGGCTTAGATTCCTTCGTGTATATGTCCAGGAGTGGTAGGTATATTCGGGCCATGTGGTAATTCTGTTTTTATTTTTGGGGGAAATTCCAAACAACCACTTTCGTAGTGGTTGGGTTGATTACATTCCCATCAACTATGTATAGTGGTTTAGGACCAAACAATTATCACTGTTACTAATAACAGAACAATCTCCCAGCATTCCCTTGTAATAACATAAAGGTCATTAAAGCAAGATAGACAAATGTCTTAGAACTATTCTCCCAGACCAAGAGAGCTTCAGAAAGACAGCTGAATCGCCTTTCCTACAGTGTCTCAAGTCCTTAACAGTTTCTAGAAGATACTTCGCAGCAGAACACTGTACCCTTTTAGCATGGTCCCACCCAGTTGACTTTCCTTTGGATTCTTTTACATCATGTAATATGAGAATCAAGTATTTGCCTAAGCCGGTAACGGCCCTCTATCTGCATCTTCACCCACTTAGATGTGTGGTGGTCTGTAGAATAGCACCTGAACTCAAGAGCTCTCTCTCCCTCCCTCCCTCCTCCCCCCTCTCCTTTCTTTCCCTCTCTTCTCCCCTAAAGACCAGGTTCATTGTTTATAAAGGAAAAGTGCCTGTATGAGCATTGGCTGGGGGTACCCTAAAGACTCTGAAAGAACCTCCTAGCCACTGGTGTCTCCTCTTTCCAAACAGCTCTGCTTTCTCTCAATGCCCCTCAAAGCTATCTTGCCATTTCCCCACAAAGTCTACCCTCACCTATCATCAGTTCATCCACCTGTGTTTCCACCACTCTCCCAGATAATTCTAGACTGTGGGGACTGTCCTGAGCAAGGTTTCTAGTGTCTGTGGACTTGTCCATTGGATACTGGTAGCACCCCCTACCCATTGGCTTCCCGTTTTTGACAACCAAGACGGTGAAGCCAATTGACCCCCAGTGAGATCCACTGCAGTTAAAGAACGCCGAGACCTTTGACTGCTGTGGGCCCTGAGAGGAGAGCCACTCCTGCCGTCTCCCTTGGAGGTGTCTGGAGGTATTTCAAGGAGCTGAGTGGGCTCAGCTGTGGGAAAAACAAACACAGCAATTGTTCGGGTCTTTGATGGGGTTGGCAGCCTGATAACATTGTGGTAGTTTCCATTTGTTCTTAGGTCCAGTGGGTGAGGTTTATCTTAACACAGATGGCTAAGGTGGATAGTAGGTGGAATTTTCCCTCAGCAAAGTTAGCATGGCTCACGGGACTTCCCAGCTATTCTTCAGTCAGAAACCCTGAACCTGGCTTGGGCCCCAGCAGACCACAAATTCCAACCGTTACCTTGTAAATCCAAGGGTCCTGGGGAGTTCATCTGCTGGTGCTGGCCATACGTGGTCTTTTGTATTCGGATACAACACACAGATAAAAAGAGGGCTTGAACACCTCCATATGGCTGTCAGAGTTCAAGCTTCTAATGATCTGAGTTGCCGTGTCAGGGGACCCTCCACAGCCTCTCCCATCTTCTCTCCTTTCTAGGGTCTCCTGACTCACAGAGCCCTCTAAAAATCAGAGCCTCTGGATCCATCCTTTCTCAAAGAGTTTAGTTTCAACTCAAGGTGTTCCAAAATGAACCGGAGGACAAGAAGTCTTTCGAGAGACCTGCTTCTCAGAAAGGTCAGGATGGGGGAGATGGGGATGGAGAGACTGCATCTGATCACACATTTCTGTTGTCAAGTGTCTACCATGTGCCAGCCATGGTACCCTAAGCACCAGGCTGTGGTGGGGAGAGAAGGCCATGAGGAGGTAACAGCAGCTCCTGAGTCCTTAGGATCTGCTGAGGGTTTATGCGGGAGATTATCTCTTGCCCTATTCTCATGCTGAGTAATTATTCCTAGCAACATGGTAAACATCCCAGTTTTTGATCAGGGCACCCCCACCCAGGCAGCTCATGAGCTTTGCAATCCTAGAGGAAGAGCATGCATTTCAGGCCAGAACCGCTGTTGTTGGGCCTTATGGATGACATTAGGGTGGAGTAGAGTCAGCGTTCATTAAGGCCTTGGAGGGAGGAGGGAGCGCCATTTGCAAAAGTCAAGGCGGGCCCTTGTACAACCAGCTTGTTTCTGAGAAGAGTTTAATTAAGCTAAGCATTGAGCTGATGAACAAATGGAGGCTAAGTCAAGAGAGCTGTGTTGACCCAAACACAACTGACCACTTATGGACTTTTTGATATCGTGTACTAATTAAATCTTGTGTGAGTCATTTTAAACTGGATTTTTTTTTTTTGTCCCTCAAATCACAACAAACCGAAACAGAGATTGACATCAAGAAAAGGATACTGCCATGAACAAGCCTCAAAGGTGGGATCAGTTGAGAAGAGAGGTTCAGACCAGTTCAGCCAGGAAAGTGGTTATGCTGGGACAAAGACCTTCTGCTCATAGAGCTAACGCTATGAGGCCATGAATATTCCCCCAAATTCTCCAGTTATGAGGATTTGATCCAGGGCCTTGGGAATGCTAGGCAAGGTGCTCGACCATTTGTGCTAATTTGACTGAATTAAAAGGTGTCCAGAACTGGTGTCTGTGGGGTGTTTCCAGAGAAGATTGGCATGTAAGGCAATGACGGAGTGGGGGCTGACCTGAATATTAGTGACCCCGTTTGGTTGACTTAGGGGCTTTGGCTGAATAAAGCTGGGTGAGAAGGATATATCTTTTCTTCCTTTGAATGAGTATGACAAACTATCTGACAGACAGTTTCTGAAACTTTCCAGTCCACGGAGGCAGGAAAGGTACGATGGGAATAGCTCCTGGTGGGGGGAGCAGGTGGCTAGGATTCCTCACGCTGTAGCTGACTGGAAAGCAGAGAATACAGGCTAGAACCATGGCGGGTAGGACCTGCAAAGGCCCCAACCTTTGAGACCTAGTTTCTGCAGCCAAAGCCCTTCCTCCTAAAGGCTCCATGACCCTCAAAATAGTACCCCAAGTTGGGGCCCAAGGATTCAAAATATGAGCTGGTGGGGGACATTTCAAACTGTGACAGAGTCCAGAGCGTTAGGAGTTTTTTGTTTGTCTGTTTGTTTGCTGTTGGGCAGTTTCATTTGTTTGTTTTAGCTTCTGGAGATCTATCCAGGGCCTTATGACCATCAGACAAGTGTCTTACTTCTGAGTACCGCTCCCAGCCCCGGTGTGGACATCTCACAGGAGAGACTCAGAATATGGGCTGCTGCCAGCAGTCTTGATAAGGAAGTGGGGGCATCGCCTTGATTTACCACATTCAACCTCACCCTAGACTTATATAAGTATGACCAAAAATTATCAAGTGGCTAAAAGAAAGGAGAGATTAGCTGGGCAAAGAAAGCAGTTCTTTCTTAATTCTTTCTTTCTTTCTTTCTTTCTTTCTTTCTTAAAATGTGTTTCTTGGTAGCATTTTCTTTGAAAACTTTCTATTTATCATTCTGGTGGCGGTGGGTCCATGTCACAGTATGTAGTGGAGGTCAGAAGGCAGCTTCATTTCTGTTGCTGTGACAGATCCGAGGACAAGCAACAGCACGAGGGGGAAGGGTGATCCCAGCTTACAGTTCCAGCTTCCCGTCCTTGAGGGGCCGTCCAGGCAGGAACTCAAGTAGCCGGGCACACTTAGTCCACAGTCAAGAGCAGTGCAGAGAAGAAAGAATGCACTCAGGCTACCTGCCGGCTCGGCTAGCTTCCTCTTTTATATAGTCCGGCAACCGTTGCCTAGGAAACAGTGCTGCCCACAGTGGGCCAGGTCCTCCTACACTGATCAGCAATGCAAACCCTTTAGACACACACGCCCATAGGCTAACCTGATCTAGCCAATGCCTCATTCAGGCTCTCTTCACGGGAGACTCCAAATTGTGGCAAGTTGACACTTAAAACTGAGCCACCACATCCGGGTTTAGACGATTAAGCTCAGGTTGTAAGGCTGGTGGCCTGACCAGTGTGACAATTCTTTCTTTAAGTGTGCTGAGTGAAAACGTTGGCATTCTTAGCCCTTAGCTCATCTTCCGTTGCCATGGGGCTAGACCAATCTAACTCATCCACAGCCATCAGCACACTACTTCTCCTCTATCCAGGTAGGAATGGAAGGGTTAAGGCCTCCAGCACAGGACAGCACACCTGGCGTTTGAAAGCCCCCAGTAGATGCCGAATGACAGATTCCAGTCTGCCATCTGTAGCCCTCCAACCCTTGGACGGAGAGACCTCCCCAGTGTCCACTGAGGGATGAGCAATCGGACATCACCTAACACTTTCTCCTTCACCTGTCTGTTGCAGGAGCTGGAGCACATGTCTCCCAGACTGAAAACCTTCCTCTCTGAACCCATTGGGGAGAAGGATGTGGCCTGGGTGGATGGAATCAGCTATGAGCTTGCCATCAATTTGGTCACCAAAGGTTTCGACAAGGTGCGTTGTTTTTCCTTCTCTAACTCTTCTTCTCAGAGTTGTCTTTCCCTAGCCAGATGGCAGCTCCTGCCACAAGTCCCAGTGAGAAGCCATCAGAGAAAAAAAAAAAAAAAAGCTGCCGCTTGGCAGGGTGCCAAGGGCTTCACCACCACTGACCTCATGCGCTTAGGAGCCTCCCAGGCTTGTGGATGATGGCAAATAGAATTGTCTCTGTGCGGAGCGTCAAAGGCTGATGGGATCAGCTCAGTATTCAAACACTCAGGACTTGATAGAGCCAGGCCTGCTACTGAAGTCTGGGACAGAACTGTCAGGACCAATGGTGAGTGTGCTCTCCACCTCCAGAAAAGGGCCCGTGGCATTTTGCTTGCCTTTATAAGGGCACCAGCATGCCAATGGTATGTGGAGAGCCAGCAGCCTGGGTGCTCCACCTGGATAAGGAGATAAGAGTTATTCTAAGATTCATTCCGAGCCCGAGAATGGCTTCAGTGATGGCCAATGGGATTGGGATGGATTACTTACTTTCCATTTCTGTAACAAAATACTTGACTCTGTGAACTTTATAAAGGAAGGATTTCTGCTTAGCTAAAAGTTTTATAGATTAAAAATCCACTATGGGGTGACCTTATGTGTTTGGCCTCTGGTGAGGACCCTCCCAGCCGCACTACAGCCTGACAGGATGGCAGGAGCAGGGTGAACTAGGAAGCCAGAGGGTGTAAAAGGACCCTCGAAGGACATTTGCTAAGCATGTCCTCCACTGCAAGCTATATCCCCAAGGCCCTATTCATGCCCTTTTTATACAAATTGCTTTCTTAAGAACTAATCAGGATCCCATGATGCTCCCTTCCAAGGGCAATGCCATTAACATAATGACCAAGTTACTAATATAACAAAAGCATTAGAGTCCAGGAACTGTTGTCTGTGTATATATGGCTGGCATTATATTTGTTTTGTGCCCAAATCCTAGCACCTGGGCCCATGGCTTCTGACTAACATGCTACACTGTGTCTGTTATTACATGTTGTGAACTCACCCCCCTTACTTAGCTTAAGTGGAGATCCACTTTGTGGTACTATCAGAGTAGAGCCACATGGCTAAGGGGACTTGATGCTTGCTTCCCCTGATAGAGGGGGAGGACCATTCTCAAGCAGCTAAGCAAAGGAGGCAAGTCTGACTAGGGGGAGAACTTTTTAATTAAATATCTTTTCCTTTAAAGAAATGATCGTTCTTTTCAATTTTTTTTTTTTTTTTTGCATTACTTATTTTTCTCCTGGTTGTGGCCAAATACCTAACACAAAGGAAGGTTTATTTGGGCTCACAGTTGAAAGCCATACAGTCATTATGATGGGGAAGGCACAGTCCCTGACATCGCCAGGAAGCAGGGGAAGGAGAATGCCAACGCTCATCTGGCTTTCCCCTTTGCCCTCTTTCACTCTGCCTGGGCCTCTATCCATAGGATGACGCAATTCACATTCAGGGTGGGTTGCCCGGCATTCAGTTATTCTCTCCTAAAACAGCTTTGCAGACAAGCTCGGAGGAGTGTCTTATAGGGGATTTCGGACAGTGACGCTTAAGCAACACGTTCCTCTACCATGTGTAGTACACACAGTATGAAGTGTGCCCAGTACGTTTGCACATAGACAGATATGCTCGTGTGCCCACCACCTAGGTCCAGGGACTCTGGACACTTGCCAGCTCCCAGCCAGCCTCCAAGACCTCCTAGCCAGAGTGAACCCCATCCGCAAAGATGCCCATTGTTCTGTTATCTACGTTTCTATAATTGTGAATTTCTCTTTATTGTTCCTTTATGCTCACTATTTTTTGTTTTGTTTTGTTTTTCAAGACAGGGTTTCTCTGTAGCCTTGGAGCCTGTCCTGGAACTAGCTCTTGTGGACCAGGCTGGCCTCGAACTCACAGAGATCCGCCTGCCTCTGTCTCCTGAGTGCTGGGATTAAAGGCGTGCGCCACCACCACCTGGCTATGTTCACTATTTTAAAAATACTCTTATTTAGGTATAATTGTGTACAGCGATTTTATCTTTTTGTCACATAGTTCTATGACTTTGGTTTGTTTCGTTCTTTTGAGATAGGGTCTTGCGGGTCTTGCTGTGGGAGTCAGGCTGGTCTGAAAGTCACTGTGTAGCCTAGGCTGGCTTCAGACTTCTACCTCATTCTCCTGTACATTACAGACATGTGCCGCTACACATAGCAGTTCTGTGCGTTTCTACAAAGGCATGGTCAGATAGCCTTGGCAAAGAGCGGCCTCAACTCTCCAGCCATTTTTTGTGCCTTGAAACTCAACATCCTCTTCCCTGCCAACTTCTGCTTTGTTTTGTGGCCCTGTAGTTTTGCCCTCTCTGCCTCAACTCTATTCGAAGTAAGGATTAGAAGTACAGAGACAGATGTGGAATGTTGGAATGAGGGAATAAATCGACATTTTTCAGTTTGACTCTGGTCTGCACACACAGGACTACAGGGAGTACTTATGGACAGCTTGGTCCACAGACAAGCGCTCTCTCAGTGCTCATGACCCAGCTGACCAGCACAGTGTCCAGCATTCCAGTCAAGGCCCTGAGCATTCCCAGAGATACTGACTCCTGACCCTGAGAGGTGCTGATAATTGTTGGCCTTTGTTTTGAGTTTCTTTACCTTGGAAGGTCAGTGCAAATGGAGGCCTGGCAGATGTGGCTTGGCCGTAGTGCCTGCCCAGCACCTGAGAGGACCTGGGTTCCTTATCCGACACCACATTAAGATATAACACAACACAAATAAAGTGATAAAATCAGGCAAAATAAAAATGCAGAGCAGAGGCTTTGGCAGTTGGCTCTCTGAGGCCCCCAGTGGGAAGGAGAATGGCCCCACTCATTGTACTGTCAAAAACAATACAAGAAGATTCGTGCACTTATACCCAGCAGGAAGGGCTTAGATTAAGAAGATTTGGTAGTTATATTCCACATCAGCTCCTGAGACCCATCAAACCCTGACTGGGCCCATCAGAGTACCCAGGAGGATGCACAGGTGTGTCACCTACAAGATGAACAAATGCATCAGGATACTGATGAGTCTGTGGGCACAGTCAGAATGGAAGCATCCAAATAAGCAGATTCCATAAGGCAGGGATCTCAGGACTAGTTGATAAAAATGCAGCCCATGGGGGTATTCATTTTCTGCCCACAGGGGACCTATATACAGGGAGGTCTTTCAAGGCCTCATCCCATCCTCTGTCTTTACCAGCCTCCGTTGTATGGCCATCATTTTCTTCCTTTTCTCTCCCCAGGCTAAGTTCTCATCTTTGCCCTAAACAAACGTTGCCTCAGGGGCCACACTTGTTCGCAAAACATTCTCGGCATTTCCCCAGCTGACTCTCTCAGCTCATACCTGCTTGCCTCGGCTCTTTACTTGGCCATGGGCTCTCTCCAAAGCTACCAGGCTGCTGAATGCAGAGAGCAAGAAGTCACTTATTAAGACAGCAAGGATGCCCTCACACACCTATCTCTCTAGGGGTGTGGCCTGAATTGAGCAGATATCTTCCCTAACTCTTACCAGTCCTAATGCCTTCTCCCCTGCCCCAGTGCTGAGCTTCCATCTCTTTAGCAGATGGCTAGCCATGAAGAAGGGGAATGTGTGTCTCCTCTATCCCCCAGAGCCTTGACTACAGGAGACAGACTACTGGTCTAACCTTCATGGTTAAACCATGATTTTTAAAACTCTTAATTCACAGGGTGCAGGACTGTGTGCTTGTAGTCTCAGTGAGCTGGGAGACTGAAACAAGAGAGTTATTTCAGCCTATAAATTCAAGACCAGCCTGTGCAACACAGTGAAGCCTGACTTCAGAAAGAAAACATGGGCTAGCTGGGGAAAGGGCTGAAAAGGTAAATTATTTGCCATGCCTGTGTATGATCCCCTGAACTCATGCAAAGCCTAGTATATTGGCGTATGTCTATAATACATACAGACAGCAAGTTGGGGGGGGGGGCAGAAACAGGAGTCACCTGTCTTACACAGGGGCAAACAAGGCTCTGTCTCAAACTGGAGGGCAATGATTGACACCTGAGGTTGTCCTTTGACCTCCACACATGTGTGCTATAGTACACAGGTGCCCACGCACACGCCCTCTACACTAGCTTGCTCTCTCTTGCTCTTTCTCTCTCTCCCCCTTGCTTCCTCCTTTCTCTCTCACACAAGTTTTTTCTTTATAAAGAAAGCATTAACTATTGACTCACCTGAACCTTTTCAAGGGACTCAGAGACCAAAAAAAAATGTGGCAAGTCGTTCTGGTTTCTCAGCACCTGCTGTTCACTGGGGAAACCAGCTTTGGCCTGAGGACCTAAATGCAAAGTGGTAGCTACTGATCCTCTGCCTGCTAAGACCTTGTCTGCAGGGAGATGAGTTAAAAACATCAAACATGCTCTTTGATGCTAAAGTCTTCCCCTAAGAAGGAATGTGAAATGTCTCATAACATTTTTTATTGATTACATACTGAAATAATATTTTTGAAAATATGGAAGAAAACAAAGTATATTATCAGAATGCATTTCATCTTTTTTTTTCTTCTCCCTTAGTCCTTCTATGGCCTCTAGAAGATTAAAATTACATATATGGTGGGCTTATTTACTATTTCTCCTAAACAATACTGGTCAAGATTTAAATTGTGGCAAGAGAGTTTCTAAGTAGAAAGGGACACTGTGAGTGAAAAAATCCATCACATACATGGTGTCAGACCTGTCACAGCCAGGTTGGAGCTATGTCTCCTGACCCACTGTCTCCCACACATAGTCAGACTGTGAGCATGAGCATCTGTGAACCCACCCTCTTCCAACCTGGGCTCCTTCAAATGGCTAATCTCATCCCAAAGTCACTTTGTTGTAATTTGAAGAGAGGCCAGAAGGCTGAACTCAGGACCAGGAGACCCCAGGACTACCAGTTGCTGCCTTCTTCATGTCCCCAGGTTTCTGCTGAGAAACCCAATTTCTCCTGTCCTCTGCTGACACTGGGCCCTACCATCTGACGTATGAACCTTGCAAGGGACCAGTCATTTAAGTTTGGACCTTACTCTGCATAGCATGGTGAGATAAAATACAAGGGATCCGTTGAAAGCTGAATTTTTAAAATAAATAAATAATGTAACAATATGAGCATGTCGGCACTTGGGAGGCAGAGACAGGCGGATCTCTGTGAGTTCGACGCCAGCCTGGTCTACAAGAGCTAGTTCCAGGACAGGAACGAAAAGCTACGGAGAAACCCTGTCTCGAAAAACAACAACAACAACAATATGAGCATGTCTTGGGAGCATAGAGAAGAGAGAGCAGGGCCAGAACCTGCTATGGATTGAGCACTCACACCAAAGGCTCAGTACTTTAAGCCTGGAGTGTGACCGAGCAACAGCAGGTTTGCAAGGTCGCTCCTGGATTTGTCTACTGAAGACCCAAGCATGCATACGTGTTAAAAGGAAACCAGAAAGGTCATACAATCACAACAGTGCCTTGCAACAATGGGAGGCACACTGTGTACTGGGGCTTGGGAACTGTTGGTCAAGGGCAAGGGAATTTGCTAGGAGCCTGATCATAAGAGAACACACGATAGCTCATCTCAGTCTGACAAGGCCAGGTACCATGATGAAGGTTCAGCGTTTCAATGAGTACTGATTAGGGCCAGCTACCTAGTGTGCAGGGCCCAGCGCAGAATGACAAGATGGACCTTTTGTTTACATGTATTAAGGCTTAGCACTTCCCAGTCTGGGCTAAGATCAAGTGTAAATGTATTTTAAGACAGCATAGCCTTAAAAGGGGTCTATGGATGTTCTTTGGGCAGGATCCCAGGCAACTCCATGGATCAGCCTCTGTGCAGATCCAAATAGCTGTAGTTTAACCAGGATACCAGTCATGAGAGACCAGGTCACACAGCTTGGGGGAAGACCCTGGCAGAGTTTCCCTGTGTGGAGTTGGAGCTGAGAGCAAGTCTGCCTTTGAGTTACCATCTGTTACTCCCTGGCCCCTGGCCAGGGTGATAGAGATAGAAAGTCCTGCCTGGGGTGTCTGTGTTTCTGTCCCACCCTCCTTACCTCAGGGTTTCTGGTTAGGGGTTCATTTTCTGGAGGTAGCGGGGAAACCAAGAAGGCATTGAACAGGGGCCACAAGAGCCATGGGCTCCCCCTTCACTCAGGAGCAATATTAAGTTCTTCAGGATAAAGTAAGGCAGTCCATCTCTGAGCTCTCTGGAAGATGCCAGCGTGGGACTCCAGGGAAAGCCCAGAAGGAGGAAGGCTCAGATTGCAACTTGGCTCAGAGACCCTTCTGCCTGCCCCGTTCCTGGAAAGCTTGCCTGGGCCCTGCCTGCCACGCATTCCTGGGCTTCCTGGCTGCTGAGCCCTGCAGGCTGCAAAGGCTCTGATTACCACACCAGCTGAGGCCGCAGCCAGCCTCAGAAACAGGCAGAGGATGTCTTTGCCTCCAGACTAGACTACAGATGGCTGGGATATGGAAGAGCAGGGTGGGCAGAGGAGGGAGTCTCAACCTCTCAGGAGTTCCTTATTTGGGACACCATCTAAAGAATAGGTGGGCAGGGCACCCCTGAGGATCAAGTGGGTTGGTTTAAGAGGGTGGCTTGCCAAAGGGCTCAGGAGTATCTCTAGGTGTTTGTCATTCTTCCTCCTGGACCAATCAAGGGCCTTGTGCTTTCGAGGGAGCTGAGCCCCTAAGCCCTACAGCGTGTCGTGACAAATCTCACGGATGTTTCTCCCCGTGTGAGCTCTAAGTGCACCCTGTAATACTCACCTAGGCACACCAACAACTGCAGCACGGGCCTCAGTGAGTGCTTAGTGAATGCCAGTGCTTCAAAATACTGACTTAAACCCACCTCAGCAAAATCCACCAGTGAAAACGGGAGGATACCGATAAAAAAGGAGATCATGCTAAGACGCTGGGTTTCGGTTTTCTATTTTTAAAATAAAGCTGTGCCTTAAAAATCACTGCAAGTCCAGAGCTCCTTTCTCTTTTCAACAACTGGCCAGTATCTAAAATTAAACCCTGGGCGGGGGAGCTCAGTGGTAGATTGTTCGTCTAGTGTGTGCAAAGCCCTGGGTTTAATCCAGCTCACTACAAATAATAAAGTAAAGCCTACACACTATAATGCTCAAGCACCTTTGTGACAAGGCTTCAGCTTTTATTTGATTACACACACACACAGCACACACACACACACGTTCCCTTTATTATGAAATATGCTTTGTTTTATGTAATGAAAAGTCAACACACAGCCAACAGTAGGTTTTCCTGGGAAGGGCCCAGAACTTGGAGGTGTGGATGGAAGCTAACTCTCCTTCATTCTAGACTAGAGGGCCCTCGAGCCAGGCCCCAGTGATGGATACATTCTGTGACCCGAAATCTAGCCTCCGCCGTACAGTGGTTATCTCCATTCATGGCTCTATTCCCCTGTTCCTTGCTAATAACAGCCTGGTGAAGATGTGAAGATGGGGGGAGGGGGGAGTAGGCAGAAAATTCCTGATGGCAAAATTGCTATAGAACCAGGAAGCAGGGTGGACTTAATGTATATGCCTTATATGTGTCTTGACATTTTTCCTTTCTGGTGTGTGTGTGTGTGTGTGTGATGTGTGTTACATACACATGGGTGTACATGCAGACTGGAGTAGGATGTCAGCTGCTCTGGTCCACCATTCTCTAACTTTCCTGAGACAGGGTTTCCACTGACTCTGTAGCTAGGCAGTTAGCCAGCAGGCCCCAAATCTCTGACCACACAGTGCTAGGGTTAGAAGTACACGCACGACCACAACCAGCTTTTTATGGGGGTACTCAGGACTTGAACTCAGGTCCTCGTGCTTGCAGAGAAAACGTTCTTACTCACTGAGCCATTTCCCCAGTCTTTAATTTTTCTAAATTAAGTTTTAGAGTTAGCATACAAAGTAACGGCTTCTGCGGTGACATTTCTGTACATCGGTGCCATTATATTTTGCTCATGTGTTTTGTTTTTTTTTTTAATCCACAGACATTCTTGAGAATTATATTATCAGGCGTTTCCAGAGATACAGGACCAGGAGACTATATATAATTATTAGAGGGGATTTGTTTATTATCTATTTTCACACAATTAGAGCTTCCACCTTGGCTGTCCACAGGCTGGAAAGACAGGGAAATTGGGAGCTTGTTGCTCAGTCTGCAAGGCAGAAAAGCTCATTCAAAGAGAGAAAGAGGCCAGTGATACAGCTCCAGTTTGAGGCTTGAGAAGGGGGTTCAAGGTTAAACATGATTTACGCTGTAGGTGCTATTCCCACGGGAATGACTCCTCGGCATTTGTGTCTTCCCCTGCCTTCCCATTTGACACCCTCGTGGGCAGGGCAGGGCAGCCCTATGCCTCTGGCCCTGCGAATCTCCTTTCCACTGAGTTACTAAGATCACACAGGTAGTTTGCAAAGCCAACTGGATGCTACCCGGTCCTTCACCTGCCAGCTACATCTGCAGTTCTAGAGTGAGGAAGATTTCTCAGCAATATCTGGAAATCCTTATGATTGCTCTGTCTTGGAAACTGGGGAAGGGGCTACTGGCATCCAGGGGGTAGCATAGAGGCTGTTAAATGTCCTGCTGTGCACAGGACAGTCCCCATGATGCAGAATCATCCAGCATACCAGCAGTGTTGAAGTCGAGGTGCCCTATATTCCAGCTGTTGAGAAAGCAGTGGGCTAGGGAGTCACACTCTAGCTTGGCTTTTGTGTGTTTTGAAGAAGGAACTACTTGAACAGCAGATGTAGCTCATTGGTAAAGTACTTGCCTAGCACACACAAGACACTGGGTTTAGTCCCCAGTGCACACATATACACCCACCACCACCACCACCACCACCACCACCACCACCACCACCACGAAAAGCGAGATTAAATGACAGGCCTAAAAGTAGCTCAGAGGTATGTTAGTCACCTACCCATGATCCTCCCAAAACAGTCTTTGACCCAACCTCATCTGGGAGCCTATTAGAAATGGGGAGTCTCGAAACCTGCCCTAGTTTTAGATAGTCAGAACCTTCTCTTCTACAAGATCCCAGAGAATTTTTTCAAGTTTGAGGACAAGGCCTAGTGGTCACTGCAGGACGACAGACCTTGGCCCAGGTCTGAGAGACACATGTAATTAACTTGACCTCACCTTTCCCCAGGGTTTGTCAGGAGTTGACCTGACAACCAACCCCTCTCATCTGACCCACACCCCAACTTTTGGTTGTCAACTGAGTACCGATGGTGGCGGGAGGGCAGGCACTTCCGAGTGGGATTCTGATAACTCCATCTTTCTCCCACACGTTCTTCTTCCCAGGCCTATATCCTGCTGGGACAGTTCCTTCTCATGCACAAGAACGAGGCAGAGTTCCAGAGGTGGCTCATTTGTTGCTGTGGGGCCACGGAGCATGAAGCCCGCCAAAGCTCCACCTGCCTGAAGAAGTGGTGTTCCTACTTCCTGTAAATACCCGGGGCCTGGCCGCTCTACCCCAGATAAACGACACAGTCACCACCTACACCCAGGATCCAACTTGTCGCTTGTGTTTCTAATTTCCTTATCATTTGTGTATGAGTGTGTGTGTGTGGTGTGTGTATGTGTGTGTGATGGATACCTGTTGGGAGAAGTGCTGATTGACACCAGAAGTTGACACAGCTGTCTCCTATTGCTTTCCACCCTTAGGCTTTCAGACAAGGTCTCTCACTGCACTTGGAGCTCACTAATTTGGCAAGGCTAGCGGGCCATCAAGGATGGGGAATCCTCTTGTCTCTGGACATGTGCCGCCATACCAGATTTCATTGGATGTGGGTGCCAGGGATCCAAACCCAGGGCCTCTCTCATGTTGCCGTGGCGTCATAGTTAAGAGTTTCTATTGCTGTGAAGAGACACCATGACCACAGCAACTTTTATAAAGGACTGGCTTACAGTTTCAGAAGTTTAGTCCATTATCATTAGAGTTCCCATGGTCACTGTGTACATGGTAACACACAGGCGGACGTGGTGCTGGAGAGGTAGCTGAGAGTTCTACATCTGGATCAGCAGACATCAGGGCACGGCTTGAGCATGAGAGACCTCAAAGCTGGCCTTCATTGACACTTCCTCCAACACAGCTCCTAATAGTGCTACTCCCTATGGGACTATGGGGGATATTTTTGTTCAAACTACCACACGTGACACTTTCCTGATTGAATCATCTCCCCAACTTTTACACGCTTACACACACTTACACACACATACATACACACACACTTTAATTTTTTAAATATTTACTTTTTTAATATTTGGGACAAGAGTCTTCCTCCAATAACTCATCATGCAGCCTCAGCGGGCCTCCAGCTGCTGAGTTGTGATTACAGGCATGAGCCATCACATGTATTTTCCTTAAAGATGCATGAGCATCACAAGGGTTTATAAGTGTAATAAAACAAGAAACCCCAAATTCACCTTGAAACACACCCAGAAAACTCCATCACTCACTTCGGATGACATAAAGCTAAATTGAGCGCTCCAAAACTTACGTGACCTATGCATAGTTTTAAAAATGAACATTGAAGTTTCAGTTGGTGTCTTAGCTGCTACCTATTGCTATATAGCAAGTTACCCCAGTACACGGCAGCTTAAAACAAGCACCAATTCTGCTACAGGCGGAATAAGCTGGCAACCAGAATCTTGAACGGGGTGGGAGGAGTGGCAACTGTGCGGTGCAGATCTAGAAACATTTTTGCCCCCAGAGCCCCCACAAAGGGGGAAGGAGGCCGACAAGTCCCAAAAGTTGACCTGGCATGCTTGCTGTGGCACACCTGCACTGCACACCGTGATATAACAATACCAGTTTTAAAACTCTGAAATACTTCAAACTTGGATTTCTCCTTCTGGAATGATCCAGATTGAGGGGCTTCAAATGAGCAATCGGCAAATAGTCTTAAATCTGAACGCTAAAATTGGAAACACCATTTCAGACTTTCTCAGCCTATGTAGAAGGTCCTAAGGGATAGGACCCTGAAGGTGACTCAGCTGGTTTGGTCACAAGCGGTCATAGACTGTTAGCTTGGGTAGTAGCTTCCTCTAAGACGAGGGTGGAGGAGCCATCTCTAAGGAGGCTCCTTCTCACGGCTGTTGGCTGGAGGCCTCCATTCCTCATCGCTGGGCCTTCTACAGGGCTGCTCATGGTACGGCCTGTGAAGACAGGAGAGAGGGAACCCAGAGGCAGAGACAATACCACCCTGCTTCCTGTCACCTAGCCTCTGACTCATGCTATGTCTCTTCTGCCGGATTTCAGAGTCTAGATTTTAGAAACAAGTCGTTAAGCATCCTGGGAACCATCCCTCTTCCTTGAGACATCAAAGAAGGCAGATAAGTTTGTAAGGCTATTGCTGTGGAGGATTTTAGGTACAACTCCACGCAGTGAAGCTTGTCTTTTAGTACGGTCCTGCCTCTCCGTAAACATCCCCTCCCCCACTCCTAGCTCCTGGTGGCTACAAGATGATTTTCTGTCAAAGTTTTGGCTTTTCTAGAAATTCATGTAAAAGGAATAACACGGTGTGTAGCCTTTTCAGGCTGGCTTTTTAAATTCAGCATAATTCAGCTGATGCTAATCTGCTACACAGGCTTTTTACACTGAAAGGTTTTAACTCAACGTTGTTGATGCCTTTTTCTGCTGGCATTCACTCTTCCAATAAAGTTCAACAGTTTCTCCTAGGACATAGGCTCTCTGGCTGCAGGAGCAGTCTACAGAGATAGAAGAAGGAAGAGTACAGTCAAAAACCAGAGGGACCCGTGGATGGATGAAGTCAGTGGAAAACAGTGTCCTTGTCGTCTGGACAGGGCAGCTGTACGACAGGCACCCCAGTAGGGCCAAACTCCACTTATCCAAAGTAGCCATTTTCTCTCTGATGCCCTGCATCTACACCCTTCTCTTCCCACTTCACACCCTGCAGAGAGTGACTCCTGGGATCCCTCCTGTCTTAGCGTTCTTTTTCTGTTGCTGGGATACAACATCTTGACAAATGCAGCTTAAGAGAGGAAGGGTTTATTTGGCCTACAGGTCCAGATTACCGTCTATATGGAAGGTTCCCAGCTGTAGCGGGGGCATGAGCTGCTTACATTGCCCCCTCAGTCAAGGAGAGAGCAATGTATACATGTAGCTTCCTCTCTCCACTTAAACAGTCTAGGATGCCAGCCAGGGAATTCGGCCACCCACAGTGGGCAGGTCTTCCCATCTCAAGGAACACGAGAAAATCCTCCACAGGCATTCCCAGCAGCCCATCTGGCAGTGAGTCTGGCTTCTGTCAGGTTGACACAATTCGCCATCATCCCTCCTTTCTCCCCTGTGCAACCCAAAATATTCAAATTTAGTGTGTGAGTCTGCTTCTCAGAGAAGCCAACCTAAGACAAGAGTGTTGGCAATTAGCTTTATTTTATCAAGAAAAGTAGAACTAAAAAAAAAAACCACTGAATCTTGCTGAATTCCTTTCATCATTAGACATAATGATACATTTCTAAATCAAGGTCTTACAGGCACAAGGATGGAGTTCAATAGTGGAGTATTTTCCTAGCGTGCATGAGACCTTGGTTTGAGGCCCAGCAAGAAAATTTATTTTCTTGGTTAAAATCTCAAAGTGTTGGGTTGGAACAATAACTCAGCTGTTAGGAGCACTGACTTCTCTTCCAGAGGTCCAGATTCGAGTCCTAGCACCCACATGGCACCATCTGTACTCCAGTCCCAGGGAATTCAGTGCCCTCTCTGGCCACTTTAGACAGCAGCCGTGTATATGGTGCATGTATTTACATGCAAGCAAAAACACTCATACATGTAAAAATAAAGGTTGAAAAGTTCAAAGTATGATGTGGAGGAGAAATAGTATCATTGGGTTTCAATTCCAGTTTTTAATGATATATGATGCGAATTCCCACTATAAAAGTAAAAAGAACTATATTTAATTTCTCCCTCAATTCATTTTATTGGTTTTATTGATACTTCCAATTTCTTTAAGTTTTATAACATTTACAGTCTTCCCATAAGCATAATCGCGTGTATATTTTAGCACTTGTCAATTTTTGTTAGTGCCAGAATTTTCAAGGTCACAGCTTTGTCATCCCAAATTCTTTGATGCTCCTCTGAGCTGTCCCATATCAGCCAGCTCAGGCAGAGCTGTACTGTTACAATCACCTCAAGAGTGACTTGGCCAGCAAAGATTGACTTCTCTTTCATGTTACAAGTCTGTTACATGTCATCGGGAGAGTGGTCCCCATCATCACTCTGTGACTAAGGTGGTTGGAGATCCCTGCTTTAGGCATGTTCTTCCTTGATAACCACAACAGAAAGGAGCCAGGGTAAAGCCTCTCCTGGGAAGTTGTACATCCTACGTGTACTCATCTCTCATGGTCCAAATGAAGCATGATTAATAAAAACTCAGAGAAATTGGGGTTCAACCTGAAGATCTGAAAAGCAAAGCAGCCAGTCACTGGCTCTTACCTCGACCTCAGTCCAAAATGGCAATCCTGCCTCCAAGAATCTTAGAATGAGACTGTGTGTTGAGAGCTGTTTCCTCCTGTTTTATAATCCCCTCTAGGGCTGGGATTAAAGGTATGCACCACCCAGTTTCTATAGCAACTAGTATGGCTACTGGGATTAAAGGTGTGTGTTACCATTACCTGGTCTCTAAGGCTGACCAGTGGGGCTGTTTTACTCTCAGATCTTCAGGCACACCTTATTTATTAAAATACAATTTAAATGCCACTACACCCAAAGCAGCTCATATACCCCCCCCCACACCTCTAAAGAAAAGATAGGTCTTTTCTGAATTCAGAAGAAATGGGAAGGCTTAAAGATCACACTCATCAAGACTGATATCAATTAAGCTCTTTATGTTTTTCCCAGAATGCCTCACTGATGACCTTTCTGACCTCATGTGTTGGGATATATCAACAAGAGCCTGCCTACTCCAGTGTCTCTTCCTTTGTTTTCCCCACGGAGAAAATAGGAGTTAAGCAGCTTTGCCTTCTGAGACCCCAGGGACTGACCACGCAGTCGGCCATGCCCATCCTTGGAATAATTCCCCAGTAATGGTCATGTATTTAGAAGTCACTCGTTTGGAAGATAGGAGCTGATTGACTCCAAAGGAAAAGAAATGGTGGTTGTACCTCAGTCTATTTCCACTTCCCCCAACACTGCTGAAATCCATCCCTTGGACCAGCAATATCTAGAATCATATAGGGGTGGTAGGGAGATGAGACGCCTAAAGAATATGAGGTCATCAAAACTAGAGGGCTTCTACAGAGGGACCCTATATAGTGAAGGCAAGAGTGGCTCCTTCCTGTATAACATGATTTGTAAGATAGCAGAGTGAATAATAAGGTTCCCCAAACCTTATTCAAGGCGAGAAATTTCCTTCATCTCTAATTCATTATCTTGTACTGATTTTCTTGTCTTCTTTGTAGATAAAATCAATGGCCTACATTCCTCAGCAAAAGTATCCAGTCTTCACTTCTATTAG